TCTGCCTCTCCTTCTCTCTGTGTGTGACTTTCAAATAAATAAATAAAGCTTTAATTAATAAATAAAACCAGATCTGTTATGGGATAAAATGTGTAACTGCCACAACTCTAACATTATGCCAAACAATGGCCTTCATAGTATTTGTTGGTATAAATTACTGAATACATAGCAATTTGTAAGGACTACTCTAAGATGATGGTTTGTATGTGCTTTGTCCTCCAAGGGTTCATGTGCTAGGGGTTTGGTCCCCAGTATGCTATTGTAAGACATAATGGAATCTTTAAGAGATTGGGCCAGGTGGGAGGTGGTTAAGTCATTTGGAGCACTACCCATAGAAGGGATTAATGTAGTTCTCATGAGACACTAGTTCACTCCCAAGAAAGGGGGTTGTTATAAAAGAGTAAGACTGGCCCTTGGAGCCAGTACTGTGGTACAGTGGGTTAAAGTCCTGGCCTGTAGTGCCAGCAACCTAAATGGGCACCAGTTCGTGTCCTGGTTGCTCTACTTCCAATCCAGCTCTCTGCTATGGCTTGGAAAAGCAGTAGAAGATGGCCCAACTTCTTGGGCCCCTGCACCCATGTGGAAGACCCAGAAGAAGCTCCTGGCTCCTGGTTTCAGAATGGCACAGATCTGGCCACAGAGGCCATTTTGGGGAGTGAAACAGCAGAATGGAAGAATGGAAGACCTTTCTCTTTCTAGCTCTACCTCTCTCTCTAATTCTTTCAAATAAATAAAATAAATCTTAAAAAAAAAAAAAAGACTGGCCTCTTCCCAGTCTCTGTCTTCCTGTCTTGCCGTGTGATCTCTTCTACATACAATCCCAACGTTGTGATACCATCCAGTACAAAGCCCTCATTAGAGTTGGCAACAAGCTGCTTGGACTTTCAGCCTACAAAACTGTAAATTAAATAAAACTCTTTTCTCACATATTTTGTTATAGCAACAAAAAATGCACTACTACTCATACAGATGGGTAGAGTTTTTGTTTTTGTTATTAAATACAATTAATTTGAATTTTGATCTATAAAACTTTCAAATTAACAAAGACTAATTTTTCATGATTCCATGTTTTTAAAGAGAGATAGGGTTTGAAACATAGCTTAATAATAAGGAGTGGCTTTGGCTTATGAACAACCAGATGTTCTCAAATTTAGCAATTTAGGACCCACTATGCATTTCTGTTCAAGGAATTACACTGGACTCCTATTGTTGCTATTATTATTATTACTAATTATTTGCCTAGTCACCCTCTCACCCCACCCATGCTTTTCTGGAAACTACTTAACTATGTTTATTATCTGTGCAGTCATTTGAAAAATGTACCTTGCCACAGCTGACTGTACTGGGGGATGGCAGCTGACCCGGATGGCCCCATTAGTCCTCACCTTGGGAATTTTCAAACTTGGACAGGAAGAAAAAGCTGGGAATCACTCACTCTCTTTTCTCTTTGTGGAGAAAAGCTGAAAAGACAGCAACAATTTGTAGCAGTAATTCCCAGCTTTGATTGCACATTAGGATTTCCTAAAGTTTAAAAAAAAATACATGTCTACTACAAACTCATTGCATCAAAATTTCTGAGCATTAGAACAGACAACACTATTACCCACCCACTAATTTTTATGTTGTGTAATTTCATTACTACTCAAAAATGAAAGAACAGTACAGTGAACATTTACATATCTTAGTACAGTTTGGATATTACTTTCAGCATCACCCAAAACCGATGTGTTATAGGCTTGATATCCAAAATCTTATGATAATGGTTAATGGATCAATGTTAATAGTTAATGGATTAGAAATAGAGACTTGATTCAATTATGACATCCAGGAGGTGGGTCATTAGGTCATTAGGTTCTCAAGAGAGGGTTGGCTGTAAGTGCAAAGGTGAGCCTCGTTGCTTTCTCTCTGCTCCTGGATCACTGTGTGATCCTTTTTCTCTGTGTCTTCTACCATCCACTGCCCTCATCAGACACCAAACCAACAGTGTTGCTGAATCTTGGACTGTAAACTTCCAAAACTTCTTTCCTTCATAAACACTGTGTCTTAGATATCTGATTGTAGTGCCAAAATTCTGGCCAACACGTACCTCTTCACCTAGACTGCACCTAGACTTCACCTAGAATGCACAATTGGTATGCTTTTTATGGAAGAATGAGCTTTTAAAACTGCCCAGTTGATATTAATATACATAATTGAGAACAAACCCCATGTGCTATTAATATATGATTGAAAATTACCACACTGGAGAAAGAACAAAGAAAGCAGATACACCAAAAAGAATAAACTTCACAAAACAGCCCTCATTATGCTCACTCCTTGCATTTCATGTCTTAGAGTCTATAAGATATCTAAGTATCATTATAGTCAAATCACCTTTTGAGGTTAATCTAGTATAATTTAGGAGTTTGTTCATTGCAATCAAAAGATTCAGGAATAATTTGCAGATTGAATAGGTTCTACAGCCTTATTCTGAAATGCAATAACTGTTGTAACTGATGCTTACTTTTATTTCTTCTTTTTTCTGATATTCTTTATCAGTATTTGTTGAATGTAGATTTTAATTTACTTATGTAAATAAGTAAATAAAGAAAAAATTTTGGGTTTTACAGGCTATTTGTTGTTATTTAATGACTATTGTCTATAAAGAAATGCATAAAAATAACAAATTCAGGTAGACATGAATCCCCAAAAGAGTGGAACTAATACAGCAATTGCTAAGCTACAGTTTCTCAGAGGTAGGCATTATCTTAAGGAAGACTGTTTTCCACCGGTGAATTCAATCAAATCTCACACATGCAGTGTAGCAGCAGTACCTGGGAGAGGGGAAGATGGCAGTGACAGTATTCTGCCCCAGTAGGGAGGGGCATTTTCCACAGATATGGTTTAGAATTGCCAGAGCATACTGATTATAATAGTTCATTATTCTTTTTAGACATATTTAGAAATGCTGTACTCTGTAAACACTGCACCTTGTTATTGCCTGGAGCCAGGGTAAACAGATCCCACTGCCAACCCCTCTACTTCCCCTTCCATGTCCAATATTAGAAAAACCAACCAAGAACCAGCCAATGAGCTGTTCTCTGATTCTTTTATCTTTGAATTAGAGTTCTGGTTTCTGTTTGCAAATTTGTAGTCATTTTATAAAAAGACAATGATGCTGTAACTCTGGATTATGTAAATACTGTCAGAATGGGATTGCAAGCTATATAATCTTAGGATACAATGCCTAAAGACATAAAGTGCAAGCTTTGTAGTCTTTTTCTAAAGATTTATTTTATTTGAAAGGCAGAGTTACAGAGGGAGAAAGACAGAAGGGCAGGGGGCAAGGGGTCGGGATCTTCTATCCACTGGTTTACCCCCCAAATGGCCACAACAGCTGGGGCTGGGCCAAGCTGAATCTAGGAGCCAGGAACTTCTTCTGGGTCTCCTATGTGGGTGTAGGAGCCCAATCAGTTGGGCCATCTTCTGCTGTTTTCCTAGGTATATTAGCAAGGAGCTGGACTGGAAGTGGAGCAGCTGTGACTCAAACAGTTGCCTATATGGGATGCTGGTGCTGCAGGGGGTGGATTAACCCACTATGCCAAAGCACCGGCCCCAGCTTTACAGTCTTTAATGGCTATTTGTTGAAAAAAAAATACTTAAAATCACTTATCTTACCTACAATAAGTTAATTTTCTCATGCTTCAAGAATATGAATAAAATTTGAAAGAGGAAATTTAATAAATCAAAAATGATGTGAGGTAAACATAAACCTGATTCTTTTATCTATGCATTTACCTGAAGGAAAAAAATAATTTTGTCCAAATTCAAAAAACATTTTCAAGTAAATTAAACTTTTAAAAGTCAGAATTGGGGCACACATATGGTGCAGTGGGGTTAAGTCACTGCTACAAGATGCCTGTATTCGATATTGAAGTTGCCCAATTCAAATCTGGATTACTTCACTTCTGATCCAGCTTTCTGTTAATGAGCACCTTGGGAGATAGCAGGTGATGGTTCAAGTACACTTAACTCCCTGCAATTCAGTGGGAGACCTGGGTGGAATTCCAGGCTCCTGGCATCAGCCCAGATCCAGATGTTGGGCTGTTACTGGAATCTGGGGAATGAACTAGTGGATGGAAAATCTCTATCCATATGTCTTTCTGACACTTGCTCTTTTGCTGACTTTCTCTCACCCTTCCCCCAGCTCCTGTGTGTGTATATGTGTGTGTGCGTGTGCCTTTTAAATAAAATCAACATAAGTAAATTAAAATTTACATTCAACAAATACTGATAAAGAATATCAGAAAAAAAGAAGAAATAAAAGTAAGCATCAGTTACAACAGTATTTTAAGGACTAGTATAAAAGACAGTGAAAATGTAGATGGGTGAGTAGTCTCTCCCACTTGAAGACAAGCTCATGAACCAGGAGAAAGCTCTCTAAAGTTGACAGTTCTCTTAAGAAAGTCTGAAGGAAAAGTTGTCTAGGACCAACAGCTCTTAGTTTCACAGATTGGTAATTGGAAGTACAGGATTTTTTGAAAAGGTGTAAAAATATTCCTTTGCTTTCAAAGAGGATTTGAAGTTAATGGCACCTTAGCAGTAAGTGAAAGCTGGAAATAAAACATTAATAAGTCTAATGACAGAAAATAATGATTAAAAGAATTCATGAACCTCAGTATTTGCACTTAGTCACTTGCAGATTGTAAGAAAAAATGAAAGTCACTTAGAGATTCCAATTTCTTGTGTTCTGTTATTTGGATGCAATCAAAAAAGCACAGAGGAGAATGATAAGTGAGAACAAAAACAGTTTCATACCAGATCAGTGCTGTTACTGAGTTACATAAAAGTGGCTCCAAGTTACCAAATTCCTTCTTAATACTTCTCCACTGTTCATGTTATTAATTAAACCCTAAATTAACAAAGCCTTGCAAATATAGGATCCTAGTTGGCTACTCTTCTTTGGAATTCCTCTCCAAAGTAAGCCATTTGAAAGTGAAGGAGGACACGTAACTACTCACTGTGGCTGGCCAACGACAAGGACACTGGCAAATGTGTTCCCTGGCAGCTGGAGATACAGCATTAGTGGTTTTCCTTTGTCATATCTTGCTACAAATCAACAAGCTGGACTCCTGTACCTTAGAGCCGTCAATTCAGCCCCGAATGGCAGATCTGAGGCTGAGGCTGCTGGGTTGGGTCCTGCCCTCCCTCAGGCTGCCAGCCCCACGTGCAGGGGTGCCGAAGCCAGACAGACAAGTCTTGCCTGGGAGTAGCTCCTGCAGTGGGAGGGGCACAGTGCTTATGGATGAGTCACAAACGAATTGACACAGATGGACTCTAACAAAAAGCAAAGGCTTTCATCTTTGGTCAGAGATCCAGGAGTGTGATGAGGCACAGGATCCAAGGTACTTGGCCACAGCTACTTCTTCCTTATGAATCGATCTAAGCCTGAAGATGAGATATGGAAACAACAAGTGCCTATGAGTGGGACTCTATACCTGGCTTGTGGGCTTTCTGATTACCAGGATTATGATAGTATGGTTCCTTCTTTGTCCTTGGTGGTCTCCACTTGCAGGCACGAGGTGGCTTTGCAATTCGTAACTTCCTTGTGGTTGAGTAGTACCATGCAAGTGCTGCTATAGTGACCAACAACTCAAAATGGTAGCTACACCATCAGGCTGAGTCACAGAAAGACTGTGATAAGCAGATACACCTGATCATCCATAACAGGCCTGAGAAAATATGACTCTTTACTATCTTTAGTCATTGAGATTTGGGGGCTACTATTTACCTCAGCATCACCTAGCCTATACTCACTAAGACAAGAACAAAGACTCTTGAAAAGCAGAAAAGTCACTGACATACCCTTCTTTAACTTCGAAACACTCAAAAATCCTTTCCGACAGCAAGTATTTGGCCTATTGATTAAGACATCAGGTAGGATATCTACATCACACATCCGAGTACCTGGGTTTAATCCTTGGCTCTGCCCCTGATTCCAGCTTCCTGCTGGTGTGCAGGTTGGCAGGCAGCAGTGATGCCTCAAGGAATTGGTTTCTTACCAACCATATAGAAGACCTGGATTGAGATCCTGGCTCTGGACTTCAGCATTCCTGGCAGTTGTAGGCATTTAGAGAGGGAACACACAGATGGGAGCTTTATCTCTCTCTATATTGGACTCTCAATTTTAAAAACAACCCTTTCCCATTAAGAACTATATTTGTTAATATTCAAGCACATTTTAGCATCTCCATTCCCATGTTTGAAAAGCTATCTCCATGACTACCTCAAGTGTGCCATTTTAAAAGCCACCATCAAGAAGCTACTGTAACCTAGTTAAAGGCACCCTTTGATTTTAATCTATGCAGTTCCCCATCCTTATTTTGTCTCCTGGACTGGGAAAGATGGGAAAGCATACTGCCATTGTACTTTTGTTTCTATTTTTCATGAACACTAGGTATGAGAACCCCCTTTTGGAGCTAATTACTCCCCTCTTGAATCCACTCGCATGGGAAAATTTTGTATTTCTTTTTAATAGACTTTACTTTTCAGAATAATTTTGGGTTCCCAGGGAAAATGACCCAAAAGGACAGAGATTTCTTATATACCTCTGTTCCTACACATGCACAACCTGTCCAACTTTTGACATCCCACACCAGCATGACATATTTGTTACAATTAATTAAACTATATTCACACATCCTTTTCAATCATATTTTCATTTTGGATATACAAAATGTCCCATGTGCCATGTATCTGTGGGTATACAGATTTACTCACAATATGATCCCTAGACCACTCAGAGCTCTTATTCTGTTTGGTAGAAGATGACAGACAAATATGAAAAATCCTACAAAGTCTTCTCTGCTAAGAACTGAAGCAATCAGTCCAAAGTAGGGAGGGTTGATGCAGGCTGGGCAGTTCAGGGTCCTCTTTGTAGAGCATACAGTGCCAATCAGGTCTTGAAGGACACATTGCATTTATATCAAAAAGCGAAGTTTTAGCAGCAGGACAGAATGAGGCATGTTCATAGCTCTTTGTCCAGCAAATACTTATTGAGCATCTACTATAGAACAGGAATGCAGAAGATGGACATATTCTTGGAGATCATACAAGCCCAACCTTGCACTGCAAATGAGAAAAACAGCCCAGCTAGTATAACCATAATTTGGAGTCACAACTTTTTAAAAGCAGGGATTGGCCTTAACTAAAAAAAGCAAGACTCTCAATCATGGCTCCAGACTCATCACCAGTCACTCCCTGACTCACACTACCCTGACAATAACGTGAAGGCTTTGATTGTGTTGTTTCAAGACTCCAAACCTTCATGCATGCTGTGTTCAGTGCTCAGGGCATCCTTCTCCCCTCTGGTCATTGGCTGACTCCTTATACTTAGTCAGAGTTCAATCCAACTCTCTTTCTTCTGGAAATTTCTTCCAATACCCCAAGTGAAACTGGGTACTCTCTTTCTTTTGCATCTACACTATCACCGACTTAAAATCATCTCCATCAAGGCTGCAAATTACCCCATTCTGTTCATCTTTCTCTAGCCATACACACTGTTCACATCCCTTTTCCTTTCCATTGGTCTTTCCTGAAGCCTGAAAGGCATCCACCCATCTCCACTCACAGCTTCGTCTGGCAGACTCATTCTTGTCTTCAAACACCTCTTTACTGTCAGGCCTCCCATGACCAAATCCCCTGGCCCAGCTTCTCCCTTTGCACCATCACAGTACACGGCACACAAGACTAATACCCACATTACCACTTAGGTTTTAATCCCAATGTCATCTCCTCAAAGAAGCACATCTGATATGGCAGTCCTATCTATCAAAGTCCTTGAGCCTTCTTTCTTGCCAGAAACCCAGATTTGGTCACTTGAGATTATTTTTAAACAGTTGTGGATTTTCTGGTTCCTGAACTACACGTAGGCAGGTGACTATTTCTGTTCAGTGAGATATAGGAGAAAACCCATGGAGGTGAGGGAGATTCCAGGAAGAATATTTTCCTGATAAAATGAGAGGGGTGCATAGAGGAAAAAAGTTAGCTTGTTTCCACTCCACTTCCCTTTCTCCCTTCTGGCTTTGGACACTGTGAGAGAATATCATGTTGAAGCCATGGCAGTCATCTTGCAACCAAGAAGCAACCAGACTGAGGAAAATGCCAGTAAGCTGGGGATAAGAGAACAGGATGCTGGAAAAATGCTTAATCTTTATAACAATACTACAGTACTGAAGCTACCCTGGGATCAATAACTTCTAAGTAGAAAAAAATTTCAAACAAATAACTAATACTCTAAAGTCTTATGCCATCATTAAGTTTTTTGTTACTTGTAGTCAAAAACGTTTGATTGATTAGTCCTAACATCATTTCTAAGTAGCACTTCAATCATTCTCTGTAATATTTCACATACTCTCTTCTTATACAGTCACATATGGCCTAACTATGGGAATATGTTCTGAAAAATACATTATTAGACAATCATTATGCAAATATCAAGGAGTGCACTTACTCATACCTCGATGGTATAGGTCAATCACTCAACATGGCCTCAATAGGCAATCGATAGATTGAATAGAAAATGTATGAGGCCTCTGGCTGGTATGCCTCAGCATGCTGTTTCACAGTAAACTGGTTCCTTAGTAAGTAGGAGTACAATCTACAATAAGGATAATAAGTGTAATACAGTAAATACATAAACCATCAAGTCATTTGTCATCAAGCATTATATATTATACATAAACATGTGTGCTATTCTTTTATATGACCAGCAGCACAGAAGGTTTGCTTACAACAGCCTCAACACAAACACATACATAATGCATTCTGCTACAGCTAATATGTCACTAGGGGATAGGGATTTTTCAGCTCTATTATAATATAGTCCCACCAAAACATTGGTATGTGGTGCATGATTATATATCACTAATCAAAATTATCATGTATAATACTGGTGTTAGTAGTTAATTGTCTCCTCTCCATGAAAGTAAGAACCAGGGAGGCTGGAACATGCTAATTTTATAACTTCTGTATTTCTAGCAGCTAGAAGAATACCTGGCAATGAGTAGAGGCTCAATAAGTGTATGCAACACAGTGATTGGCTAAATTAATACCACTCATGTTAACTTTGATGTCAAGCAGACTATAAGTTCTTCAAAGTCAGAGACCCAAATTTTATTGTTATTTCCTCCCAAACCAACATACTCCTAGGCATATATTAGTAATTAATGTATGTTTGATGAATGGAGATATATGCTTCATACTCTTTTCAATAACCACCCCATCATTTATAATATAACTCATGAGCATCCAATATTGAACATCATTTGGCAAGAAAATTCTGAATTGTTGTTTCACAAGAGTTAAGCTTACAAGAAAAAATTATGATAGTCTTTATCTGTCAAAGTTCTTGGAGATGGCCATTTAGGTCAAATTTCCCGATAAATTCTTCCTATCATGAAGAACTGATCTCTTCAAGAAGCAGTTCTTATAATCACATTGCAATTATATTATTCCCCAAGTGGGCTACAATATACATCTTTGTTAATGACAACTAATATCAGCTTTACAATTCTCTCAAGCCTGAAAGAAATACTTTCTCTATGTCTGTACATAAGCACCTGGCTCTAGAAGAGACGCAATTGCAGAAGGTAGCTAACTACAATATTTCACTCCTTTCAAGAAGCCATTGATTATAAGACATCCCTTGTTTATGGACCAAGAGAAAAAGAGTGCTGACAACTAAATTGGAAACAATGCTGGGAAACTATGAAGCTATGCTAGAATGTATCCCTACTTCAGAGGTTAAAAAAATGCATACCAGTAAATTGATAAAAGATAAGCTGTGGTAGTTTCACTTAATAATGAATGCAGAATTCCACAGCCCCTACATGCAGTTGGCCAATCCTGCCATGACTCACTGCCAGGCTCGTTTTTCCACAGCCCTCTTTGACTAATGACATTCATTGGCTTTCTTCAAACCACTGATGCAACTTCTCCCCAGCCTCACCTTACATTTTACAGAGAAAATCAATGTCAGTAGATGAGAATTCCACTGGCTTCTCATCTGCAAATCCACAATTCCACCCACATGGGCTCCTGCCTTCTCTTCCTTCCTGACATACAAAGAAATGTCTGCCTGTCAATACTAGTTTCTTCACAGGGGCTCTCTTTGTCTTCTTGGACTTTCTCAGGACTGTACTCCTTTTGTTTT